AAAATGACACGTGTGTGATACACGAGTGCTGCGAGTGGACCCGTGGTGCACTGTTAGGAGTACATGAAGCTGTGTGAACGTGCGACTGTGAACGTACACAAGCTGTATCCACATTATCGCGTATATATTATGTCATGATAATAACTGATTATATATTTTCATCCTTATCTATTTTATGTACATCTGTTATTTTCCATATCTGTAATCTGATTCCAAAGTGCAATATTAACCCTGGACACTTCATAAAACATCATCTAATACCGATCTGAGCAGAGCCTCTATGCCTTTATGAATTATAGGTAACATATATAGAACACGCAGATCCCCATAATCATACTCGTGAATGCTAAGGTTTCTATCATGTTCATGCAAAAAATTAAACCCACGGCATCGAAAGTGAGGCATTGTGCACAAAATTCCTTCCTTCCTTTATCAAAAGGAGGGTAAAAAATCCTGTGATGGCCATGCTACAGTCTGGCATGTCGTCCGCCGTCATCTGTATAATTAATATTAAATTCTTAGTCTTCTATGGAACCATGCACCTTCCAAGGAGTGGCACTAAATATTATATTAAAGCAATTGCGACTGAGTAGCGCGTGCTACGACAAACATCTGCAGCAAGGTCTATGTTGTTATCCGCGCCATTCATCCGTTCTCATCCACATCACTTAACGCAAACAATACAATACAATAGCCCTTGGAGACATCTACATTATTACTTCACGTTCGAAATACACAGCGGAAAGTATTCGCTAGTAAATTAACTGTATCGCAAGAAACATGTCCTCCATCATGCGTTTTTCCAGAAACTTTTTGCCACGCACAACCACAACCAACACGTTGCAGTGACTTTGAAAACTACGTTAAATCATCCTCCAGCTGTGGTAATTCCTCTCTGACACCACATTGTAACCTTCAACGGTGGAAATCACTTAACTATCAGAGAAGACTGATAAAGCTACCATGTAACGTAAGCTTGTTAGTCTTCTACATTATAAAAAATATATACTTACATTGTTAGGTATGATACTAGTGGCTGTATTTATAGTCTGTTTATTGTATATAAAATTAGTAAATTAAAATAAAAGTAAATTGTAGACATATAAAGTTATATAGAACGGTATAAAGTAATTAGGAATCAGGAGTTTATCAGTGTCCCTGCAGAAGAAGCCATTTTGTCCGTTAGTTTTCCCGCGCAAACGTAATGCGCCACAGCTACACAATATTGCACGGCGTACAGCTGCAGCAGGATGACGAGCGTGTTATGGCTGTATACTTTTACGATTATTAACATACAACAATAATTCCAATGCATTATCCAACTAGCTTGGGCTGAAAAATATGTATAGGTGAAAAACTTTATTTATTTTGTCTTTAACAGACCTGCATACGATCAATTCTTTCTTCGTTATAATATCAGTATTGGTTTCTTGTGAGAGCCTGTTCTGTAAATGAGTTGCATATTTTGTGTTTATTAATGTTGGACACCGTGTCAAGTGTTAGTAGCCGACACGTTCAACTGTGGGAATCATTTCCCCAAATACTGGTTTGGTGCTCACCGGCCGGTCGTGTGACCACTACAGATCGTAATATTCTAATACTTAAGCCAAATGAAAACTAAACTTTTTCATTTTACTAACGAAACCACGGGTAGCAAGCTTAATGTCCCTAACTCATCTGGTTTGCAGGGAAAGAGGATTGTTAGTAATGTGGACTAATGACCCCATTACCAGCAACGCACCATGTCAGGTTGACCTTCACGCGGTTCAGGGGGAACCATCATGATAAATTCTTGGTGATTTTGTCACGATGGGCTAACTGACCTGATAACATTCTCTTCTCACACTCTTCTGGTGCCCCGCTAGCATAAACCGTTAGCGCAGTCGATGCACCATTCCATTATCATCCACAAAAAAAACTCAATGTCCCCAACTCACCTGAATGTGTCACATGACCGTTTCCTTTGCCATAAAAGATTTGATGTTGGGTAATCTTTCATAGAACTACCGAGTGAGTTAGATCTCAAAATGGCAGAGTTAAGTGTCCATCAGAATGATTGGAGCGAGTTTCCCTATTTAGCTGGGCAGCCTGCCAAACGATTCCGATGCGCTTTTAGCTTGGACGATGAAAATAAAACGACATAATTGTAGAGTTACGACTAATATACTAACTATTATACACCGACATAGCAGGGCAAGAACATTCACGTCTTATTGCCTTCTAACTAGCGGCACTATATCCTAGAACCCTTCTGTTCTCTCTTCCGGCTTCCGGAACCCTTCTGCTCTTCTCCCGGCTCTTTCACTCCTCGCTAAAAGATTGAAACTCTCTGTTGTATTCTGCCCTAAAGGGTTAGTTTACTTCTCTACAGTCTTGTAAATACTAGGTATAATTTTAACTAAAAAGCATGCATCGGGCCACATCGGGCAACATCGGGCACGTGTGTCATAAATAGCCCTGACATCTCGATTTACAGAGCTTATTATAAGCAATAGAGAATAAACAAGTGCGTGTAAGTACAGTCGTCTATCTGTACGGGCAGGAAGCGTGTACTTACTCGATGTAAAAATAAACGTAACAATTGATGTCTGCTTGTGTTACAGGCTCGCTTCCTTCCGTCGTTCGTTTGATGTTCTTTACTATAGATACCAGAACGTAGAGGCTGCAATAAATGGTTTCTTCAACCAATCTGTTATATCACAATGTAACAATATTTACATGAAGCCATTCAGTGTTAAAGATTTGGCATAGTAGAGAATTAAAGACAAAACTATATAATGCATCCAGATAGTACCTGGGACCTGTTCATGTTATATAAATACATTTAATTTCACTGGGATTAAGAATTGTTAGCAATTGGTTATTTATTGAAGCCATCAAACATAGTACAAATATAGGTAATTTTGAACAAAACTTTGTTTATTACAATAAAGGTAGCTTCGTTAGCCACGTGACAGCGATGCCGACAACGTTACGGAGGGTAGGCGGGTTGTGACTGCACTGGTGTACGTGCGGTATCTATTGTACGTGATTGTATTCTGTCTGTCTGTCTGTCCGTCGGTGTAACGTGGCGCGATGATATCCATCACCTATAACCACGGGACCGCCACTCGCCGGCAACTAACCCGCGTGTGTATCTGTTTTATGGTCACAGAACATTACGATCATTTCGAAATCGCTAACGGATACACGTCGAGTGCGGCCGTCCGCAGCACTTAAATAATTGAAGTCACTTAATAATAAATAATTAAGAGCTCAGTTTTAATAAAATTGATGTAAAAATAATAAAACCGTTTCGATTCCAAGATAAACTATATATTATAGTATTGTCGAAATTGTCGCTCAATGTATATTCACAAAACAACCGTCATTATCATGTCGGTCCAATTATTCGAGTTGTAGAGTCGCTTACAATGTCTTTTAAATTATTTTAATACTTATTTATTTTCTCATATTTATTTGAAAAGTTACGATGTTTTTCCTTTTGGTAATAAAGTAAATATTATAATTGTATATTATCAATTTCGTTTTAGAGGATCATAATATTTAATCAGTATAGTTGTGTTTTAAAACAAGTTCCGTTGTGCCGTCAAAATTAACAAGTTTACATAAAAATCTGGGTTATAACAGCCGGCGACATTTTACAGTTATTCTTGAAACACACTTTCTCAGTTTCTGTTCATCTTAATTTGTTAATTCATAACTATTATTTTGCGTGTTCTCGTTCCGGTAGAATGGCCGTTTATTGTTTCACTGTCAAAGAGTAGTCCGGTGTTGATGCTGCTTCTTTCTTTATATATGTGTGTTTTGAACAGCCAAGAAGTTTCTGTGGTATGTTAACGACCACAAACTATAATCATTTACTGATAAGGACCGTTCAAGTATTACGTAAGCAGATTTATTATAGTTATTTACCCCCCATCAGTCAGCAAACGTAAGCAAAGCTGTTACCCCCTCCCCCCATACTTACGTAAACATGTTTCAATTAGCGCATTGTTTTTAGCAAAGTCAATGTGAGTGTTGCCATGCGTGTAAAACAGTAAATTACTATCGATGACGTCATCATCATGTAGACTGCCCCACCCCCCGTGTCATCCAATATAAGCAAAGTAGAAACCGCCCCGACCCCCATAGTGCCTACGTATTACTTGAACGGCCCCTTGTATGAACGTGTTATGTTTGTTTTCATCTTTCTAATATAATATGTATTATTGCAGTGTTGTGTGTGTACTGTGTACTTGTGTGTATTTTACGATCTTCAATTACTACTACTATTGCTATCACTTACGTATTACAATAATCAAGGTCATGTATATTTAGACAATGTAGTGCGACAGTGCACACAGACAGACAGACAGTGACCAATATTTACGGTTCAATTGGTAGTTTGTTGTGCGATCTATATTACCAGTCTGTTATATCATCATCTATACATATAAATAAAATTGGAGTTTCTGTTTGTAATATTGAAATAACCGTTTTTTTACTACATGCATATGTATATAATTACGGTAGGTACATATACCAAAATAACATTTTTTACAATTTTTGTGTCTGTTTGTTCCGGCTAATCTCTGAAATGGTTGGACCGATTTTGACGGGACTTTTATTGTCAGGTAGCTGATGTAATAAGGAGTACTTAGGCTACTTTTATTCTAGAAAAATCTTTTATTATAGAAAAATAAAGTTACATTCCACGCGAACGAAGTCGCGGGTACAGTTAGTTGTTAAATAAATGCGTACTATTTTTGTTTAAATGCCATGCAAAAATATATTTTATTGCGCATGTCAATTAAATATTAAAATGAGTTAATAATAATCCAGATATTATATATACTCCGCGAGAGTTAAATCTCACGCGGAGTAAATAGCGGTTAACAGCTAGTATGGAAATAAAATAGTTTGTTATGAAATAACTGAGATGCGACAGAGAAAGACAGTTTAATTTAAACCATTTAAATAACATTTGTGTAAATTACTTTATATATTTTTGTTCGCAGGTTAACGACTGAAAAGTGCCTGAAAAAAAGTATAGTGCCTTCAGTGTGTGTGAAGGAAGTTGTCTAATACACTGTGTGTGTGTGTGTGTGTGTGTGCGGCGGTCGTGACGTGCGACTGTGTGTGTGCGTTTTGTTGTGATCACACACACCAACACCATGGCAGCGAGGACCGTGTGGATGCTGTGCGCGCTGCTGGTGCTGCTCCTCAACGAATGCTCCTCAGGTTAGTACTCCTCAACCTAATCATATTAACACAGCGTCATATAGTCCACGAGTCACGTGAGGCTCTAGAAAGTAGCGGTGGGGTGTCGGCAAAAATCACGAAACAATATGCAAAAAAAATGAATAGTGAAGGGCCTCTAAACAGAGTTTATGTTATATATATGTGCTAAGAAACTTGTAGAAATAATCTATATTATCTTTATATAGTACAAAACGTAATCGCTTCCGCTGTCTGTTCACTTAAATCTTAAACTACGCTATTTTAATGCAGTTTTTAGCAGTAGATAGAGTGATTCCAGAGGAAGTTTTTTATACACCCTTGAGAAGACAGGGCTGATTAAACTGATAAAAAAACAGCAATCTTAGGACCGCAACTAGTTTCTTAAATGTCTTATTTATCACAAACATATTCGTGTTATGATACAGTTGTCTGTATTAAGAATGCTATTGTGCTTGTACATCCCATATAAAATGAGAATAGAATAGAAAATAATTTATTCAAATAAACTTAATTTACTTTTTGAATAGTCATAACATTTTATCTACCGCTCGTTCGGAAAGCTGTCTCATCACAAGAAGAACGAGCAAGAAACTTGTGTGTTGCTCTTGTAAATAATTATTGTAAGTTTACATTTACAAGACGAAAAGTGTGAATACAATCTACCAACCTGCACTAATTTATAACATACATAAATACCATTTAAATTTGCTTGAACTGTTTGCTGTTTTGTTTTCATAAACTGGACAATGCACACAGCATTATCGAGTCCCAAGATAAGCAGAGCTTCTGTTATGTGATACATATTTTTTATAAATACGTACATAATATACATATCTTTCTTTCTTTCTTTCTTTCTAATATAGATATTATTAATTATATGTATGATACAATATATATATCAGGTAAATTAGATAAAAAATAATATATTAAATAGTGCGATATATCATCGTAATCATATAAAGAAGGAAATTGACTTCAGGACTTCCGTCTCTGATACGATTAATTTGATGGTTGTGAGTTTATGAAGCCGGAAGTAGATTTTGAAGTCTTCCTGTATGCAATCTATTTCCGTCGTTGTTTATGAACACCTTATAAGTTACCTACTGTCCTGTCCTACGTTTGTCTATGCAAGTGTTGTAATTTGTTACATTATTTTGTAATCACTGTAATGCAGTAATTATTGTATATTATCATATGTGTATCATTATGGCAATAGTTGTTCATGCACGGGATTTTCATTTAATGTTAGACATAGACACCCATATAAATATACATTGTAAATAAACTGACTTTAAAAAAAAAAGTAATTCAATTGAGTTTATTGCCAGTTCTTCTCAATTGGATCTATATACCGAATTGGACGGTAGGGAAAAAAATAAAAATATAATGTAAAAAATTTGACGTTCATAAGTGGCTAAAATGTCCTACATGAGTAAATGATTTGAATTTCATTGGAGTCTGTGTTGATAATTCTTTAATAGGATTATCGCCACGCGCGTGGTAACACTCACGCCTTGCCTTTAGGAAGAACTAGATATCAGACTCTGCATCCTATAATGTAAGTTACTTATCTCACCATAGCTATATATAGCTCAGTGGGACAGAGTTACGGACGACTTTGCACAAAGTCTTAGGTAAATGGTGGGTGCGATCACAGCTGAAGGTCGAGTCCTTATATCTACTCGTATATACATATCTTAATCCGCGTGTACATCCTGCTACAATATATTTCGAGTCATGATATTGAAATGCAATCATAAATTAATTTATTCACAATCATTTATATCACTATCACGTATTTATATGATACACGTGATAGTGATATGATAGTACCCCGGGCGCCAGTAGGTCCGTCTCTTGCCAAACGGTTACCGTAGCTTACGGAAAACTAAAATTACAAAGAACAAAAAATCTTATATACAAAATTCTCGTGTCACAATGTTAGTTGCCATACTCCTCTGAAACGGCTTGACCGATTTTTATGAATTTTTGTTTATAGCGTTATTAATTTATATGGCAAAACAGCGTTTTCCGGGACAGCTAGAAGTATTTAAATTTTTGTTAGGTCGTAATATATGTACATATTTTGAATGGACGGTAATAGAATGATGCATTCGCCTGCGATAACGGTGTAAGCTGGCGGGGCATCTGTGGAGGACGATAAGATGAGTATGAGGTCAGGTCAAGCCACATCCTGGCAAGTCCACCAGTAAAGTAACATGATGGTGTCCAGGTGGAACCGCGTGCAGATCTGACATTGTACACTGCTAGTAACTGGGTGATTACTCCACATTACTAACAATCGCCTTCCTGCTCTAACACTAACATGTTTCAGGATGCATCAATTTGTTAATATATTCAATATTCACTCCATTGTGCTAATAAACTAGAGCGCATCTAATTCTCATAATAAATATAAATTAATGTGTCACAATATTAAGAAATTACATACTAGATAATTAAATTATATATATATCTGAGTGATTCACTCTGACGTGACGTGACAAGTGATAGGTACCTAATGTAATACTGTAATGTCAAAACAAACAGTCATCTCGTATGTAGGTTGCTCCTTGCTACCTAATAATTTGGACATACCCGTATGTGGCAGTGCAGTGTGTATTACGATAATAAAGTAATTTCATATGCATACAGCATTAAATTAAAAAAAAATACAATATGTGTTCATGACATGTGCACAGGTCTTTATTTAGGTAACTGACTTATTTCCACTCATGTGGTGTATATTATTATACCTTATTTATATATATATACATACTCACTTTTCAACGGCTGTTCGGAAAATATTGTTTATTAGCGATCAGACCGCCTGTTAGTTAATTTTAATGAAAATAGATTTATATCCTACATAATACAATAATCTTCTAATAATATTTTATTGGTCAAGTTAGGGCGATCGCCGTGACTGAAATCATTTAGCATTGTTCATCTTTACTTAGTATAAAATGAAGTGACTCTCGCTCTCGGTTCGGTTAGATCTTTTAAACTACGCAACAGATTTTAATGCAGATTTTAGCAAAAGATACTGTGTTTCAAGAGGAACGTGAAGAACAAACGCTTATGTAAAATCTGACAAAAACTAGATGAGTAGAGTAGTAGGTACAATGATTACATCAGCACTCAATGAGCACTCCCGCACCGTTTCCCCACATTTCACTTATTGTTAGGTTGCTATGTAGATATTTCTTATTTGTGGCCTACATTATAGCCTAGATGTATGTACAGTACACTGTATAGGAATAAAAATAAATCTATGAATTCTTCAGCTAAAGAATGACTAATGCTCTAAAGTTATTTTAGAAATTGTCTGCAGCTCAAACTGGTTTGAAAAAAAACATGAGGCGAGGCCGCGCGGGGTCACCTACCACCGGTAGGTAGGTACCTACTTATTACATATTGTAATGCATGCGGGGAAATCACTGAGCACTGAACTTACGTACTGTTCACGTGAATGTACATATACAAACGGCCACTGCGGACTCACTCGGCCAAAGACCGAGCAATAACTCTATTACGTACTGAGTCTGTTACCTGGTTACTACCTACCTACTAATATATACAATGTCTTCATAAAGATATTATTCTATGTTTACACTCATGCCACCTACAATGAAGACGGTGCAACCTCATGGTTGTATGTAGAGTGAGACAGAGCTGTGAAAAGACATTCCGACAAATAGAAGACAAGGACGGAAAGAGATTCAGACGTATAACATCTCAGCCTTCGCAATGGCAATGCATGTGTGGCATGACGGGCGTCACACGATGACGATGACGTGATGCCCGTATTAAAATACTGTTAATAACTCATAGTTAGTTCATATAAGGAAAATATAAATTTGAAAAACCAATGTTTTCATGTTGACAAGTCGTTCCTTGTCTTCATTAAAACATTGACAAATAAAGCACTGTAACTTTAGAGTTCATTGTGAATACACATATCTTACTTTCCTATTTTATTGATGCCCTGTCTACGAACCTAATTATAATTAAATATCTATTATTATATGTATATATTGGGTTTGCTGTAAAGCGTAAAAAGAGGACGGAAAGCGATTCAGCAATGACAACGCATGTGTGATACCCGTCGTGGGTATCACATGATGACGTGATGTCCGTTTTAAAATACCATCCCGGTGATCTGGATGAATGGCGGTCCCCCACCGTGCGTTTTCCAGAAACTTCTTGCCACACACAACCACATAGTCAAATCACCTTGGAGCGATGGTATTTCCGGACCGATACGATATTGAAACTTTAAGAAAAGAGCGTATTCCTCCTTAAAAGGCTGAAGCACTTGCAGTTTTCCTGGTCTCATGGGCAGCGGTAGTCACTTACCATCAGGTGAGACGGAAGCTCTGTCCATGGTGTTTTTCATGTACCACAGGGTGAGCAGTCATGCCTTTACGATTACATAAAGAAACACAAAAATGAGAAAATAATTGTTTGAAGTTAAATATTATGTTTGCAAATTTGACACGCAACGGTTCAAACGGTAGTGTTATATAACTATATATTTATAAACGTCTATTAATATATACATACTACGAGTATATAGTCAACATCGCTGGATCATTGACCCGGAGTGGATGTTGGCATGTGCCGTGTTTTTATTTTCTGAATTATTATTAATTTAAACAAAGTATTCATTTTTCATTGACATTATTATGTCAGTTGGAATTTGATATAACGCAATTTGAGAATGTAATTAATTACTTCAGAATGTGGTAATCACAATATTACGTTACGTTATGGGCAATTAGATTAGTTTTTTTAGTGTACACACGTACTCACGTGTGTATTTGAAATACCGTTATGGAATCAGAACGCAATAATAGCATACTGTCCGTCTGTCGAGATGTGCACACGGATGGCTCTCATATCATCGGGTCCGCTCTCACTCCGCACTAGTGTTGCCAGGTCCGAATTATTTTAAATCGGTACATGAGGTCGAAAACATCGGGATTTAGGATTGCAGA